AGCAAATATAGAGATATAACCCGTGTTTTTGTTTTTCTATGAGACTGTGATCAGATTTGTAAAAAACAAACAAACCCATAAATGTCATTGTTCAAAACTTTCACTCGAGCTTGTTGCTTCATCAGGATTCGCTTCTGAGATACAATTTGCTGTTTTGCACAGCTTTGTTCAATTGTACAGTATTTTGTACAATTTTGTATGGAAATTTTATGCCAAGAATATTGTGTTACTTTTGCCTTGACCTTGAATAGAGTTGTTTATTGAAAAAAAATGTAGCTATTTCGTTAATAATTTATATGAATCTGTTTAATAAGTATGTTGTATTATGTGCTGTATATATGTTTATTTCACAATTTTTTGTACAAACACCAAATAAAATTGTAAAGTTGCAGGCGAAGTGTGTGTGTGTTGTGTTTATAAAAGACAGTTTCACAAAGTTAAATCATAAATAATCATTAATTTTATTGAATCACAATAACTTAAGACTAGTACAGTGATATCAGATTCAATTCTCCGAGCCCTGGCCAGACCAGTGATGACAAACGGCATCGATCTGCTCTGATGTAAAGAGACTGTACACAAAATACTTCCTTTTTCAAGTACCGTAACAAATCGTCTAGAAAAAGTCATCAAAATGCTGCGGGATAAACAACTATTTACAGAGTTATGTTACATATAAAAAAATGTACATAGCAAAGAAGGCTAAACATTCATCAGGTTTGTGAGTAATAAACAGACAGACTGGTCTGATGCTTCGGCGACGTCCGCACCTCTGGCTGAAGAGCAGACAAACAGAGTCAGTCTCTTTGTGCTTACAGGGACTGCAGCAGGAGATTCTCTATGGGTCACACACACACACACATGCGCACACACAAACACACAAACACACAAACACACACATGGACAAAGAACATTTGCCACGAATTCCCCGAAAACAAATGTGTTTCCATGCTGTACGTCTCGGCAGTGCTGAAATCTGCTCGGGGGGGACAAATGCACGTTTTGGCTTCCATTTGGAGATAAGAATGAACTTTGCATAGCATCGGTGACAAAAACACTGAAAGTGATGGAAGCTGCCCCCGCCCCCCCCTCCCCGGCCTTAAGCGTCTGCCTGCCTGCCCGTCCCAGAAGGCAGGCTGGGAGGTTCAAAAACAAAGAAAGAGTAGGATGACTTTATTGTCTCTAAGCCGTAGAAATGATGTCAAACCGTTTTTACATACAAGTACCTTTATATCTTAAACCTCCGATTAGTTATATCACTATAAACAAAGCAGCATATACACTAGTTTTCACTTAATTAGTTTTGTTCATCACAAATCACATAAAACAGACGATGAGCGTGGAGAAAGCAAAGTTAAAGGATGGGGATGAGGTATAAAATCCAGACATCTTAAACTTCCCTCATCCAATCAACCTGCTGCAACTTCTCATGTCGAGCACCAAAATCAACCCCCCCACCCCACATTTATATGTTTTTCTTTCTGCTAGTGGTCCAATTATTTACACCAGCTTCTCAGCACCAGGTCCTACAAGCATACGACCGGACCCCGCAACCCAAAGTGCTGCTTCTCATTCACGTCTTCTCCGATCCCACGACATTGGTGTTTGATATGAAGAGAGGTCAACGCCGCTCAAGGGCAGAGTCGCTTCGGAGCCCTGTTAGTTAAAGTTTACAGCCATTCAGACGTATAAAGACTAATGCACATAGTCTGATACAAAAAAAAAAAAAAAGGAGTAAGGCATTGTTTGTTATAGGATTCAGTCCAGCACCAAAAAAGAGATTTGTGCTACAACAGCCTGTTTGGGCCACAAAATGTGCGCGGAGATCAGACAGATTAAAGCAAGAAGTGGTGGAGGCGTCGTTTGTTGAAATTGCACAGAAACGAGAAGAAAATGACATTATTCCAAATACTGTTATAATTAAAAGGATAAATGAAGCCATAGTGAGTTCACAAGTCTTTGCTCTTTTGTGAGAACTAAAATGGATTTTGTAAATTAGATTCTGTTCTCGCCTCGCTCTGTAAAATTAGCCACAGATGTTGCACTGGACAAGAAAAGCCTTTTTTTAAATTTCCAGTAGGTCTGAGTTGTGTTTTGGGCGAATAAAACTTATGAACTCGCCACGTTATTTTGCTCCATTTCAAAGGAACGACTTTCTGCTGGAACAATGGATTCTGAGCTACGAGGCAGGATGTGACCACTGGGGACCTTGATGGAATGCACCGTATGATGTGTGGGCAGCAGAAGAAAAAGCGTCAGCACGATTGCGGTGAGAATTTCTGGTTAAACTGACCGAGCTTGTCTCCCTAGTTCGGAGAGATTTTTTTTTCCTCCTCCACAGATTTTGACATTGTTCGGATGAAGCAATGTTGCTGCAGAGTTTGTCTTTGTCGCCGTGTTTTCATCTCAACCTTTTCTCTACTGGTCTTGAATATAACTCAAAAACACTCATTTTCTATTTGTGCTTTCTTAAAAGTTCAGTGTTTAGAATTTACCGGTGAAGTTGTTGCAGCTGTACGGTAAAGTTTGCCATACACCCATTCACACACACATTCACACAGTGCATCTATTGGCAGAATGTTTTTCTATGAGGGGCAATTCGGGGCTCAGCATCTTGCCCAAGGACACTTCGGCATGCAGATGGGGAAGACTCGGATCGAACCGCCGACTTTCTGGTTGGAGGACAACCGCTCTACCCCTCAGCCACAAAAAAATAACAAATCATACAATTTAGATGAAACACACTAGTGAAAACATCACTAGGATTATTTTATATTCAATTTCTGCCAATAGATCCCTTTCACCTAAATCTTACACACTGAACCTTTAATTCTTTTTTAGGGACACATGTTTATTGACCATTTCTACATTAGTTGTTTAAAATGAATGAATATTTCCAGGAGCTTTTGGAAGTGAGAGTTCCAGGACTTAACGTTCACTTTGGCTTAATTCATCCTCCAGTAGAAAGGGGCTGTTCTTCCATCCATAATTAGCAGCATCCTCATCTGTGCTTTCTGATGCAGACGAGGGCCTGTATCGCCCTCTGCAGGCAGCGCGGACACACTGCGGCTGAGCAGGACCAGTCCTCTCTCAGCCTGATGAGCTGATGCTGCGTCTCAGTGGAGGACGGAGGAGTCCTGGCTGGTGTTGACGTTTGCTGATGGCTGCATGATGAGGGTCATGATGATGCCCGTGTGCTTTTATTCTGTCTGTCTGATGTGAGGCTCCTGACGGGAGCCATGGGCCACAGCGGTGAAAAAAAAACAAAAAAACAAACAAAACAGTGCAGTGCAGTAGAAACTTTTGTTGTCCTTTTTCTGAAATGTAATCTTAACTTTATTCTTCTTTTAAATATTTGGGTTACCCGCACCCAAATTAAGGTGGCTGGATTTTGCGGCATGAAATCATGCTCTCAGCAAGACGTTCCCACAGTGAGAACATTTCCTATAAAAAAAAGTCTCTCCTGAAAACATGGTACCAGCGTTTTGATGACATCACAAGGTCGACTCCAGCGACGAGTCCAGGATGTCGTCCTGATGGCTGTTGCTGTTGGAGTCGCTGTCGTAGCTCTGCGGGCTGGACGACGTTGCCGCCTCCTTCAGACGCATCAGCATGTTCATCTGTCGGAGCAAATATAAAAATATGAACTGTGACTGCGTCCACTCCCACTTCCTCCCCACGTCAGGAAGCTAAGGAACGACCTCAAGGCCTTTATTTATTCAAACTCACTTCATTTTCACACAAACTATATATAATATAAATATATTTGTGCACGGCTGAACTGCACAATAGTTTTAAATGCTCAGTAACAGTTGTTCTTCTTCGTGTGGTTTTATTGTTGCTCACCAGTGGGTCTGCGTCGCTGTCGCTCTGTGGGGGCTCCTTCCTAACTCCCTCTCTCGGGGCAGAGTAGCCATCGAACCCCACGTCCTCCGGGCGGAGCTGCAGCAGCGGAGGCCATTCCGCTGGAGTAGGGGTGGCCGACCACGGGTAGGTGTCAATCACCCAGGCGGCCGGGTCCTCCCACGCAGCCCTGCGGCCGTACAGCTACGGAGAGACAGAATGTGACACTGAAAAATACTGCTCCTCCAAACCACTCGTGCGGTGGTTGCAGCAATAGTGGTTTTGTCTGAAGTCAGAGATTTTGTGTCGTGAGGCATCACGGACTGACAGATTTCAAAGTACTGTTCTGTCTGTATGAAAGAAAGGAGGCTCTAGGGAACAGGAACGTAAATATAAATCTCAATGGCAGCAGGCAAAACTGAAAGCTGCTCAAAATTAGAACAAACTAAAACGTAATAAATAAAAAACCATCAGTCACTTGAGCTCAGATTCAGCATCAGTGTAGACTGGACTCACTTGAGGGGACATTTATATTGTGGGTTGTATCATGTTCTCTGGAATGTTTTTATGTGAATCCAGCTGCTGAGGTTTGATTTTACTCTGTTCTCTTTTGTTGGTTTATTTGTTTGTCAGCAGGATTACACAAAATGGAACATGGGCCAAGAATTAAACAACTTTGATTTGGATCCAAACTTTCTTTTAAATTGTGAAATAGGATGTTTTTTTTGACATTTTCAGCAATTTCCCAGGGAATAACTCATGGACCTTGATGAAAATAATGATTGTGAGTAACTTAAGTAACTTATTTAGATCATTATTCTACATTTTAAAGAACCAGATGCCAAGTGAAAAACATGTTTTCCATTTTTACATCTCTACATTTTCTCCTCAGCTGATGAGAAACAAATTCCTCTTATCACATCTCTCTTTGTGTCTCCGCTCCTCTCCCTCTCTGAGGTTCCACTCTGGTAATTAGCTGCTGCCTAATTAAATCAGATGGTAATTACACGCAGATTAAGAGTACAAATTGAATCCATTTCACTTTGATGAACATAACCCTGGTTCTCCGAGAGGGCATATCTGACTTAATACAGACTGATCCTTTAAACATGCCCTCAGGCATCAAATCAAGTCCCTCTTATTCATTACTTTTAATGTGAAAATCCCAAATGAACCACCACCAAAAAGTGAAGCAGTGGTTGTACATGTGTGTGATTGTGTTACCTGCAGTCCCTCCCGTACAGCCTCCAGCATGTAGGGGATGATGGAGTAGTTCCACAGGTCCGTGAACCAAACCCTGGATCCCTCCACGTCCATGGGACACGACAGGAAAAGACGAGGTCCTGAACGCCACAGAGCAACGAGGTGAGACATCGGTTGTTTCTGGGTCGACTGATTGATTTTCATCAATTGTGTAACGTTGCCTTACCGATGGTGACGTCAGAGGAGCTGTGCATCTCCAGGAAGCGGTTCAGGTGGTGCCAAACCCGTGGGATCCAGTCGATGATCTTCACCAGCTCCATGTTGCGCGTTCGGCTGCCGATCTCCGTCTCGATCAGCTTCCTCCTCAGGTGGCGTCCGAGGAAGCCTTTCACCGGCTCCATGTGGTTGGCACACAGCACCCACCTGTTCAGAGAGAACGTGCAGGTAAATCAGAACGATCGCACAAACAGCGAGAAGATTATAAAACCCTGTAGGTCTTTCGACATCCAGCTGCAGCAACAGTTTACCTGAAGTTGTGGTGAAGCTGCAGGTTGGGGGCGGATGATGTGGCTTGGCTCATGGTGCCGATGATGTACGGACTGAGAGGAGAGAAGAACAAGAATAAAACTTAATTCTTAATAATACGAAACCCTAATACATCTCTGGACACGTGTTCAATTATTGAGAGGGTTTTATTCTGCTTCCTGTCAGTTACTTTGAATTTACATCTATTTATATTCAAATTTAATTTGTGAACTGACCAGTGTTGGGAGTTGCAGTTGAAGAGGCCGTTGAAAATCTCTCCCAGGGAGCTGACGTGGTGCAGGTTGTCCAGAATGACCACCAGTGGGCTCTCCACCCCCGGTACTCCACTGCACTGCTCGGCCAAACCTGAGAGGTACTGACGCAGCTCCTACAGAGAGAGAGAGAGAGAGAGAGAGAGAGAGAGAACATTTAAAACTAGAACATTTAACCTACATGAGACAGAAAGTTCATTCAAGTGCTGTTTTTATATTTGTTCATTAATTTGTACCAAATATATTTTTGAAAACTTGCTGCACATTTCTGGTAAGTCGCTGTTGGCTAATCAACATGGAAATTAATTAATAGCTCATGATTCTTATAACATTTGACAGCCTTTAATTTAATAAACAGAGAGTCAGCAGATTTTTTATTTTAAGGGATATGACATAGAGCAAAGATCCACAGCTGGAATCGAACCGTGAAAAGTTTTTCAAGGGTAGATTAACTTTCAGATGTTATGGCATAGTATAAAAATGTGATTTCTAAGAAGGTGAAACACGAGCCCTTTAGACCCATGCACACAGAATTCTGAATGTGTGCGTTTACCTTGCTGGACTTGTGGTCAACGTTAAAAGTGACGACAGCGCGAGGGGTCAGAGGTCGTCCCTCCAGCAGCAGAAGGTGTCGAGACAGCTGATTGGCCAGGTAGGTCTTCCCTGTGCCGCTGGGGCCTGACAGGATGACTCGTCTGTGCTCCTTCAGCAGAGACACGTAGCGCTGCAGCATCGGCTTCGGGATCAGGGTGTTGAACACCAGAGAGTCCACGTTCCTACTGGTCACACCTGCACACACACGTCAGGGGATTAATGTCAATGGAGGCCGCTGCTGAGGAGAGATGATGTCCGGCATCCTCGCACCGTTAACTTTACGAGCACGAGGAGTCGGTACCTTTGAGCTGGATGCTGATGGTGTTGCTGTCTCCCACCAGGTATCCGCAGGGCAGCAGCTCGGGCGTGTGGGCGGCGCTGAGGCTGCTGGGCCGGTGGATTTCACCGATGTTGTATCCCTCCACGCTGTCCGAGCTCAGGCCCAGCTGGCTCACAGGGTCCACGTGGGTGATGTACTCCTGTCAGACACGTTTCTACATTTAGCAGCTTTTCAAAGGATTTTCTGCTGAACAGAATTAAATTTGTGTGTGTGTGAAAGAAGTATTAAGAACTGTGTTGTTTCTGTTTTTTCCTTTTGTAAACTTGAAACTGCACCGTGCTGAGGTACATTGTCTTTTTCTCAGATTCTTTAATGTCGTCGACCTCTGTTTACCTTGAAGAGGCGTCGGACGACTCCGTCCAGAACGTCCCACTTGGTTTTACCACTCACGCCAATGCATCCGATCAGAAAATGGCAAGACCGACCCTCCTGCGATGAGAAAACAATAACTAGCTTTAGAACCTACAAAGATACAAAGATACAAAGATACACAGATACACAGATACACAGAAATCTTAGCCAATAAACAACAGTTTCAGTTCTCACCTCTCCCCACTTGCTGTCCTCATCCAGGTTGACGACGATCTTGACGTGTCTCCCCTCCTTCCTCATCCCTCCTTCTCCGCCTGTGTCGTCCAGCAGCATGTCTGACAGGAGGGAGGTACTTTAGTGCATGTGCATTCAATGGCTGACACAATCTATGTCATCAGTTTATTGTAATGTGCTCTCTCCGCTCTATCTTACCCAGGCTGGTGGACTCGCTGGTGGTGAGGTTGAGGCTGTGCTGAGACAGTCCGGGTCCTGCGGCGTGGCTGTTGGTGTGAGGGGGAGGAGAAGAGGAGATGGAGGCCTGAGAGCCCGTCCTGCTGCCCTGGTTCTCCACCTTCAGACGGTCGTTCTCTGACTTCAGTTTCTCAATCTCCAGCTACACACAAAAGGAAAACATGTAGATCCCGTCAGCCTCTTCGAAGCAGATGTATGAATCATCCCTCAAAGTGTCACCAGTTGCGGCCTTTGTCTGAATTTGTGTGTCTCTACAGACCTGCATGCGGTTCATGGCCTCCCGGAGCTGGTCCAGCTGATGGGCGGAGCTGAGAGCTTCCAGGCGGATATCGGTCAGCTTCATCTCCTTCTCTCTGAGCTCGCTCCGCAGCTGCATCACCATCTCCGCCTCGCTGTCCAAGCACTCTGACAATCTGTGCAGGACACCAAAGTTTAGTGACATGAAATACTATGTAGAGATCATTAGTTTTTCCATCCACACAGTTCAGATCTATAGGATAAACTAAGACGCTGAGCACTTACAGTGAGTTGGAGTGTGTGCTCCTGAGCATGTGTCCGGCGGCAGAGGTGCCGTTGTGGGGCAGCTTAGGGGAGGACGGTAGAGACGAGTCCGTCATCTCCTCGATGTCCGAGTGAGACGAGGCCGACTTGGGAGATTTCTTCTTGCTGAACGCTTGTTTGAAAGAACTTCGCAGCTGCACAGAAAAAACAGAAAGAAGGAGGGAGAGAGAGAGAGAGAGAGAGAGAGAGAGAGAGACGGTGAGCAGACGTGGGACACACTCAAATACACTTGGCTGAGAGGAAGAGGAGGAGTGTGCTGGGGAGAGAGGAGGACAACAGCTGTGAGAAAGTGCAAGTGAGTCAAAGGGAGAAAAGGGAAGTATGGGCGGGGCGTCTTATGACTCGAGCCACAGTTCTAAACTCGGACACAAATGATTCTGCTACAGCCGGGACATTAAAAAAAGGACTTGAGACTGAAAGGTTCAAATCACTGGGTGCAGCAACGTGGCTGCATGATAGGTTGTGTCTAAAGGCGAAATCCACCGTTAATACTTTCCATATACAAAACTTCATTATTAAGAAGTCACAGTAGTATTTTCTAAACATTGTTATTAACAGAAAGAAGCCTCGCTTGTGTGGGACATGCAGCAATGTCCGATATCATTATTAAATGATATGATAATGTTTTGGCCAATTGGACCCACACATCGATGTTATGACACAGTTGAAGTATTTCCAGGTGGATTTTCCTTTCAAGAACTGGCTCAAGTGACATAAGGGCAGATTTCAGGAAGAAGCAGAGTAGAAGAGGAGGAGGAGGAGGAGGAGGAGAGGCACTAAGGTGGCAGCAGACGAGAGGAGGAAGAGGTTAGTAAACTAGAAAAGGCTGCAGGGGTTAGGCAGCTCCTCTCCTGTCATTTGTACCATTCTTACCTCGTAGACCTGCCACATGAAGCGAAGCGGAGGAAGGCAGGGAGACAAAACAGCACATGTTCATATGGGTCTGGGTGTGTTAATGTGTTATGGAGGGACAGGGATTAAACTAGAGGCCCCTACGACACCAGAGCTGGTTGTATGTGACTCTGCGGCAGCTGCAAACTAATTCTACATCACAACCACCATGAAATGTCTTTCATGATCCATTATATACACGACACACACACACAGCCCCTATACACTGCATATCACAGTGTGTGAGGGGCACCTGCATCCAGGAGCCCTTTGTGGGGTCTCAGCTACACAAACACTGACAGCTGGAACCACACACACACACACACACACACCTAGGAGGGTCATTTATTATCACTGTGACCTAAAGCAGGAAACTCCCAGGAAACACTGCTTCTCCTAAACATTCATCAGGATCAGATAGAAACAACCAGCTAACACCTCAGTCTACAGGCTGACGGAGAGGAAACGTACGTCATCATCTCTCACTTGTCCTCCGGTGCACAAAAAAGTCTTTCAACGACAAAAAGGGAAAAGTTCACATGTTTGAAAGTTGTAAGTGTTGAAGATGTTTAGTTGTAGAGTCAAAAAAGATGACATGAGGACTACACACTTTCCAATTAACACTGATTTGGTCATTTGCAGGTTAAAAGAAGACAAAACAAAACTTTTAATCCACTTTTAACCAAAATGTAAATTTATTTTTTACCTGCAAATCACCAAATCAGTCTAAACTTGATATTCTATGGAAATCCTAAATGTTTTCACCTTTTCTCCAGTGAAAGACGTCTGAAGGGAAAGAAAACCCAAACATGAAAATACACAGAGACAATAAACCAACACGAGTCCAAGCTGCGTCTTACAAACTCATCACATCTCACAGGTCGTCATTGTTCTGACGTCTTACCCAGTTCTTCTTGTTCTTCTTCTTGTTCTTTGCGTCAGCGTCCATGTTGGAGCCCACACTGGAATGACTGGTTGCGCTGGCGATGCTGCTGACGCTGTCAGACGAGTGCTGCCTCCTGA